CAATGCCACGTAGAATTAAGGCAGTTCTGAAGGCGAAAGGGGGTCAAACACCGTATTAGTATGGTGTTCCTAATAATCCTTTAGGTGAGTGTATTTCAACAACTATTACTCTAATACTACCTGAAATCAGCACACTAGAAGATCCAGTTACACAACTAGAGCTCAATTTGCAGATAAAGGATAATGGTATATAATGTATAACCTGACATATGTGCGTAAGAGTAAACACTTATTTACATACGTATGCAACTGGGACATAGAGTTGCACCATCTGGCTCCACAATCTCCTCATCATGGAAGGAGGTTCCACATTTTATACAGGTACTAAAAAGATTTTTAAAAGAATGTCAGAATTATACAAAGAAAATTAAACACACAATTTATGAAACTTCAAAAAAAAACTAAATGTGTAACAAGAGGAGAAAGAAACTGAATACCGACAGCTTGTACTAACCGGGGAAGAGACTCTGATGAGTCGAAGAGCGTAAGCACTCCATTGAGTGGCAGTTCAGAGTTGCAGGGCGCAGACAGGGGGCTCAGGGCTCGACTGGGGGCACTGGACACTGGGGAATTCATGAGACACTGGTCCTCTAGCGCTGGGTTATAGTTTCTTTCAGGTGATGAGGCAGGACTCAGCGGGATCAGTGAAGGGTTCAAGTATGGCAGATTAAGGGGAGGATCGTCCCTGCTAGGAGTGGAAGGAGCACTGAACCTCTGGTGAGCGATATCTGTGAGACAGAGGGACAAAACGCTGCCCCCTCTACGGAGCGGCACACCGAGGGGGACAGAAGTGGCTTTTACGGAGTGAGGGGAGTCACTCGGAGAGCAAGGCGAGCCGGGAGAGGTGCTGTTTCTCCGGGTGGCTGGCATTAAGCGTGGGGACACAGCCTTCTGCGAAACAACCACCCGGGGAGGGGTGAACTTCTGCATGGAGGAATTTTGGCCAGGGGTGTTAGTGGGGACAGCTGGAGGGGTGCAGGAGCCATCCCAGCTGCCGGCCTTCTCAGGAGTCAAACTCGGCCCTGATGACGCAGCGCCTTCCTCTGTGGTGACCGATGCAGCGCTTTCCTCCTTGGCAACTGACGCAGCGCCTTCCTCAGTGGCGTCTGACGCAGCTCCTTTCTCAATGGCAGCTGACGCAGCAGTGACCGATGCATTCCCCCCCTTTCGTCGCTGCAACAGAGGGAACCAATTCAGGAAGAAAATACCAAATATTATCATAAACACACTGAAGCAGAAGGACTGCACTAGGATAAACACATCATGAAAACATGGCAACATACAACATACTTCACTCAAGTGTAAACCTTAAGCTCTAATGTAAAACCTGTAAAGATGATGATTTCAGAGAACAACATAACAGTGATTACCTTCATCCCCCTAATGGCTCTGTCATCCAAAAACACTCCAGACTTGAAGTCAAACATGGTAAGGTCGAAGGACCCTGCAAGGTACTTGGCCATCTCGATTTTACTTCTTACACGTTCCCCTTCAGGACTAGAGCAAAAAGATATAGAACCAAAACTGTATGCAGATATTCGGCATCCTTACAACACAAGTCAGATGAGAACTATGGCTGCAGACAGGATCTACATACTGCAACTGCGACTGAGTTCACAGGCAGGTCAAGTTCCGTTTACTACCACAGCTTATCTGATGTTGTTAACCTTTCATTATACCACAGTCACATTTTGATTAGTTTTAATTATTAATGTTTTAATTAATGCGAAGGTGGCCTACATGAAAGAAATCATTAATACTTTGGAAAATTAAGTTTTTTCATAAGACACTGCAATCTAAGCTTCTACACGACCAGTCAAAAGTTTTTGCGCACCACAGGTTTTTACCACTTTTCCATTTATTTCATAAACTGCAGATTTTTTATTCTTGTTAAGCATTGAAAAGTTGAACAAACAACTATAAATGAAAATACGTCAAATAAAACAAGTTTCCCTCATGACACGGAAAGAGTATATAACAGTGCATATCTGACATCCTATTAACTGGTTGTGCAGGGATGGCATAGTCAAATTTTAGGCTGTCATTTAACTTTAAATGCACTACTTAACTTTCATTACATGAAACAGAGCCATATTTAATCTCCCATGTAGAAAGAATGCCTTGAATTTTCTCTGCAGCTATAACTGCTAAGGGAGGTTACTGAGATGAAGATATGACATGTTCTTGCTAATAAAGGTACTCAAATGGTGAACATACTGCAAATGTACTTGTTAGCAAAGAATATTAAGTGTATTTAAAGTAAATGATAAGTGAGTAACATCCAAATGTAGAAAATCTCAGGGTCCTATTTTTCACTGGCGTAAAGCGCAATTACAGCAGATTATCGTCGCTGCATCGCTGGCTGTCGGAATGGTGCCCGATAAATGGTGTGGGTTATATAGACCATTGGTGGACGTTCTGGGGTAGGCCTTGGCTTTTGAAGAGGGACGGTATTCACCCCACGTGGGCTGGTGCCGATCTCCTGTCAAAAAGCATAGCTCACAGTCTTAGGGC